CTGAGGAACGGAGATAGATATCGACGCGAGACAAACGCCAGAATCAGTTTCGCGTAACCAATTTTCGATTTCCGTAATAAAAAAATTGCAAAAAAGCTAGAACCCCGTAACGCTAACCCGATTACTAACCGTAACCCGATTACTAACCGTAACCCTATACTAACCGTAACGTTGCCTTGCCTTACCTGACAGTAACGATACATAACGCGAGAGATTATAGATACATAAAGCGATAAAGTGAGCTTCGCGAGCGAGACTTCGGAAGTCTTCCATATTAGCTGTCTCGCTTGCTCCTTATTCGTTTTCTCTCTCTCTCTTTCTCTGTTTGTTCTTTATTGTATTCTTTCATTCCCATATATATCTCATTTATGCTATAAAAAAAAAAAAAATTAATTACGTGTAGAGAGATAAGAATAAAATAGAAGAATAAATGTTCAACAAATACAAAAATATTATAATGACAATGAAAGAATAATAAATGAACAAAAAGAGAGAGAGAAGCGCCAGTAAACGCGTAAGCAAATATGCTAGAAGAATAAAGCTAAGCGATATGCAGTACGTAATAAGCAAGCGATTAGAAAGAGAGATACAGAGAGAAACATAATAAACGTATGATCAAGAAAAAGAAGATATTAGAAATTGCGATAATGTTAGTGCATACATGTATATTATTCTCTCACCCATGAGTTAAAGTTTGGTAATTTATCAATTAATTATTGTATCTAAAGCAGTAAAAATATATTGTGATATTGTCTATTCAATATATGGGACACAATGCAAAAGATTGCGTTTTCTATCATGCATGTTTGAAATAATTATGTTGGTAATGGCAGAATTAAAAAAAAAAAATGTCGGTATTATCGACATTTTCAGTTACGTTTAGATGAGAGCGCTAACCCGTCGGAGGTCGCTCGTCGGTTTTGGAGCGTTCCTGTCAGAACAAAAAGTACTAAACATTCTTTATTCTGATTGGTCAAATTTCAATCTACAATCTTCAATCTCAATCTTCAATGCGTAGTCTGATACGGGCATAAAGGGTACCTTACGCTCTGTCCAGTTATTTCTTATATCCATGGTCTTTAGCAGAATGTCTGACGCATGTGCGTTAGGCCGGATTCACACCGAGCACGAATTCTGATTGGCTTCTGCTTTTCTGCTTTCTGCTTTTCTGCCAAGATGTGAATCCGGCCTTAAGAACTTGGTCTATCGAGAACAATGAAGTGTCGCTACTATGTATATTTATATAGTTTTAGGCTCATGGCGGAGAAAGTCTCGCCACTAGAGGTCTGTCAGTCGCTCATCGGCGATTGTACTAATCGTACGGAGTAAAATAGTACCTTTTGTCGTTGTTTCTGTCGAATATATTAATTTATAATTAAATAATTTAAATGCAGCTTTTTTCAATGAATTGGTACAAGTAAATATGTATAATTGAGCTATATTTGTATCGGATGTACATGTATATAATTCGAAAGATATACGTTGTTTCGCGAGTTTTTCAGAATTCAAAGTACTTTTGTCTTCCAAGGCAAATGCAAATCGGAGTGAAGGTTAAGTTCTATCGAGAATTTGTCATTTCATGAGCACGATTAATTACAAGTGAGTGGAAGAATAGCTGTGTGTGTACATCCAAATTCTCTATTTCGAAGGAAAGAATTTTTACTATACCGTATTGTCATATGTACGTTCTTTGTCGAATAAGACACTTGGAGAGAGATTACAATCGAACGAGATATATTCTGGTAAGACAAAAATTAAAGGATGATATATTTTTTTGTGTTTGCGATACGGATTGAAATAATAATATCGATTAATAATTCTGAATCATATTCTTGCTGGCGATATTTTTTTTTTTTTTTTACTTTATTATCCAACAATTTTGTATCAAATTATTCCAGGAATTTTTTGAATATGTACAGAAAATAGTAAATAAACACCTTGATATATAACGATAATAATTCATATATGACGATTTATATGAGAACTTGTCTTTTCATGTAGATATATATTTATTCTCTCTTTTGTTAAAAAGTTTTATTGTTTTCACGTGGTTATAGAGAAACCTAAGAATATAATTTAGATCTAGTCGAATTGTAATTATAATATTGAAAATTATTTCTTTCTCATATGAGTATAAAGCGTAACATTCGTTTGTGTAATGCGTTTAAAGTTACGAGTTAAGAATATTAGATTAATTTCCACACAATATCAACATATTTCTAACCAAATTGATTTAAAATTAAATATACTTTGACAAGAATTAATTGATATAAAATTATATTTCAAGCTTCTAATGTATTCTATTCGCATGCTAAGAACGTTAACTTTTATATAGCCATTTAATTGCTCGTAATAGTCTCGTTATTAGATAAAAAAAAATATTCAGATTGCAATACTTATTATTGCTGCAATATTATTTAACAAATTTATAAAAAGTTATTGTTTTCTTACTATGGTTTTCGGAATAAAAGGCTATGCAAATTATTGTCAATAATGAAAAAATCAATTACTTTATTTTTAACGTTAAATTTATTTAGTTCAAGCTCTGAAAACAAAAGTTTACATTCGATATAAATTAAACTCAATATCGTTAGTTTTTTAATATATATCATTGATGATAAGATTAAAGTGTACGCGTGATATATTTCACTATCGTCGAATCGACATTATACTATTTATTCGACGAACGTAGGCGATTCTTGGAACGAGTGTTCACCTGGCAGTGAAAATAGAGTGACGTAAAAGCGCGGCGGTGTAGGAGAACGCGTGAAATTTTCAGATCTTCCGCGAAATAGACGTCATACACTACGCAGTGTGATCGTCATTATCGTCTATCAAAAAACCTTTTTCTGCAAGTTCAAAAATTCAGAGAAGATCAAACGCTTTTCAGCAGCGCTTGCATCATTATGTATAATGGCTAAATAAAAACATTTTTTATTAATCCGTTAAAAACGTACTATATATAGAGTGGTCTAAAAAATGAGAATCTAGAAAATGAAAAATATTCTTTTAAGAAATAAAAGAAACCTTTAAAATTATATTTCTTTTTTGTGGTATACATTTTACTTGATTTTAACAAGTTTTATAAAAAAAATATTTATAAGTTTTGATAATAAATATGTAATATGATGTATAGATCAACTTTGATATTCAACTATAGTTGCAAAAACTTGATTGTCTTTGAGATTGTATTTTTATAAGTAATATTAAAATTGAAAATAGAGTGACGTAAAAGCGCGGCGGTGTAGGAGAACGCGTGAAATTTTCAGATCTTCCGCGAAATAGACGTCATACACTACGCAGTGTGATCGTCATTATCGTCTATCAAAAAACCTTTTTCTGCAAGTTCAAAAATTCAGAGAAGATCAAACGCTTTTCAGCAGCGCTTGCATCATTATGTATAATGGCTAAATAAAAACATTTTTTATTAATCCGTTAAAAACGTACTATATATAGAGTGGTCTAAAAAATGAGAATCTAGAAAATGAAAAATATTCTTTTAAGAAATAAAAGAAACCTTTAAAATTATATTTCTTTTTTGTGGTATACATTTTACTTGATTTTAACAAGTTTTATAAAAAAAATATTTATAAGTTTTGATAATAAATATGTAATATGATGTATAGATCAACTTTGATATTCAACTATAGTTGCAAAAACTTGATTGTCTTTGAGATTGTATTTTTATAAGTAATATTAAAATTAAAACTTTTTGTGAAAGTTTATTTATTTAACATTAAAATAAATGTGATATATCTAAATATATATGTAATTTTATTATTTCTATAGATTTCTATAAATATGTCTAAAATATTTAATTTGTGAGAGAAATGACATTTTTCAGTCTTGCTTATAATACAACATCTTATTTTGATGTTTATAATAATCGATATTTAAAATAAATAACAAAATAATTTGTGCGTCATAATGTATTCGCGAGTGACTAAACGTATTGCGTCGGCGGATTCTCCGAAGCTACGTCCTGTCCGTAGCGTTTATCTCGAAAATCTACATAATGCGGTTAAAAGATCGCTTCGCGGAATTCCTTGCTTGCGGAGTGCATCCCGTATCTTTCCGCCATGTTGTTCCCGATAATCAGACCGGCTATTAATCGAGAATTGCATATAATAATTGAGAATTGCGAGAGTGTGTAACTACAGATAACAGCTTATTGATGAAATTATTTGCCTTCTATTATAGAAACTTTATCTTAATCAGTTCACCTACTGAGTTCTGTAAAGATGATTTTAATTGCACGCAATAACAAATTATACGAAACTATTTCACATTTTTTCATTATTTGTTCTATTTAACATCACTCAATTGAAATACTTATGATTATTAATGACGGTTGCAACTTTTTTATTAATTTTGGATTTCTTTATAAAGTTTAAAGATTGATAAATATTTTTTATTTACTGTACTTTTTTAAAATTAATATTTAATCTGTTTCTATAAGGGACTATTTCAAATTTAGTGCGATATAATAGACAATCTTTGATATTTTTGGTGCTGCGTTTATTGCAAAGTTCGTATGCGTATCTATTTCCTTGTAATTGACAAAAAAATATCACAAATTTCGATAGCATTTGTGAACATGTCAATTCAAACAGAAATTTTATAAAATAATGTCTATAAGATTTTTTCCTCTTGCTACATTTGATTTATCGGACATGTAGAGTTTTGAAATTTCTTTATCTAAAGAAAAAACAAATAATGTGTGTTATTTTAAAATCTATTATTCTTCAAAATTCATAATGGTGGTGCATTTTAACTCTTTAAACTTATAATATCAAGAGATACGGTAGTGTTTCTATCTTTTGATAAAATGTATATTAAAACAACTTTTTATGTGCAACAATATTTTAAAGCTTCTTTCTTTGTGCCACAATATTTTAAATAGACACGGACTATTTTTACGTTTTCTTGTGAAAAGGTTTTATAAAAACGCGCGCAACATTATTCGATTTTTTGTTCAGAGCAAGCATTAACAATATACATTTGATTGTCGCAATGGATTATCATAAATCTTTCCCGTTTCTCTTTCGTTATTATCGTAGTATTTCTATTCCAAAGGGACAGGATAGGAGGAGCGTAGGTAAATAAAAAAAACTTACAGAAATGTATATAGAAAAATTAGGTTACGCAATTTATGTAAAGAGAATACATCGAGAATCAGCAGTCAAAGATTTTTATGCGCTTTGTTTATAACGTACTGTTTGCCTAGACCGATAAATTCAAAAGTCTTGATCTCGAAAATATAAATATCAACTAGCCTAATATGCGTGACACTCGATGTGTCTGTATTCATTATTATCCGATTAAAATTGCACGGATATTTGCGAAAAGATTTTCTATTTCTGCTCACACTTTCTCTCATTCTATTTTTCTCTTTCTTTTATTTCTTATCTTTCTCCTTTTCTCTTATTGAGTTTGTTCGCCCTTTCTCTCGTTTACTCTTGGAAAATGAAATGGCGCGAAATTCCTTGAAATCTTGTACTAGCTTTGCGAGGCTCGACTCTCTTCTTAAGGAAAAAGCGTATTTTTCCCTCTCTCTTCTTTGCGTTCCTACGATTCGAGAGATTTAATGAGAAAAAAACGAAGAAACGAATTGTCTTCTTTTTCTATGATGTTTTTCTTGGTAATAGCTGCCAAGAAGTTGGACACAAGTAGCGGCTCAACTTTTTTTAAGAAATTGTACTCCTCCAAGGCTCGCAAATTTCCAGATAAATTTTCGTGCACTTTAGCTGATTTTGCCATAAGTAATTTTTACAAACACTTCCATTAAACCTGTACTTGATTCAGGCAATTTTGATAAAATATATAAATGTCAATTTACAGTAGAACTTGGTTAATTTTGACACTCTTTAATAAATATTCATTATTCCAACAAATTTTCGAAACATATATATTATTGACATTTATATAACTTACATATACACAAATTTAGAGACAAGATGAAAATTGTGCAAATTAAAAACTTGCACATTGCTTCATTTTTTTATTTCACTCACAAAATTTAAGCTTCTTAAAGCAAGCGAGTTTTTCAATTTTGACTTCCTCATAAAGGAAGCTTGAGAGAAGAAGGCAAGGGCAATGAACCCAATATCTCAAAATTTGCAAAAGTTAGAACATGTACAAACATCTCTCAAAAAATTCAAGATTTTATAAAAAATGAACCCTTTCACCGATCCTGACCAAAATCAATAGCAACCATCCTTTAATGATCTCTACCCACGTAAAAAAATTTAACTCGATATCTCAAAAATTACGGAAATTAGAGGTTGTACAATACATTCCGTACATACATACATACATACAGACATTTTTTAAAAATATGATTTTTCGACATTTTTGAACATTTTAAACATATTGGCATAAAAAACTCGAAAAAAGATTTTGTCGCGAAAACAAAGCTTCCTCTGCAAAAAAGAAAGAGAGAGAGAGAGAGAGAGAGAGAGGAATAGATAGAGAGAGAGAGAGAGAAACTTAAATGTTATTATCTTTTTGTGTAACATTATTATATACTAAAGATATTCTAAGGTTAACAATAAGGTAACAAATAATATTTACGATTTTAGAAATAAAATAATATTTAATTCAATAATGCTTTCAAAAAAATATTAAAAAACTAAAGTAGCATTTTGCAATCAATTATCTCTAATATCATTTTTATCTTGAATATTTCAAGATATTTTATATATTATGTTTTGATTGAAAATATTTTATTTTATGTTTTGATATCATTTCCAATTTTTCAATTTTAATTTTACATTATATTTTAGAATGACAGTTCCAAGTTAATATTCCGCTATATTATGCAACATAATATATGTTATCATATCTGTTTTTGTAATTTGATTATATATTTATTACGTTTGTTATTTCTTTTATCCAATTTATGCGATTTATATTGTAAAATAGGTAATAAAAAGATGTCTCTCTTTCTCTTTCACGCAAACACATACACACTCAAAGCACGCACACATCCACGCGATCTTTTACGCGTAGTATACACATCAAATTAGAATATATTTTATTCATATTTCTTTTTCTATTTGAAAACAAACGTTTTATCTTCGCGGAAACACGCATCTTATTCCACCACGTGTTCGCTATTTCACCTTCGGAGACGTGTGTCGAGGACAATAATAGCCGTAAAAAAATAAAACAGAATATGTACGTGTGCCACGTGTATATACGTACATGCGCCACGAAGAGAATACCGAAAAGAAAGAGGTTTCTAGATGGATGCTTGGCCTTCTAGTATTGCGACACTCGACCACTCGAGGCCCCGAGTCCCCGCTTCGTGGAAGCACTACTTCGAGCGACTCCACAAATACCTTGAAATCAATGACACATGGAATTCACGTACGAGAACAAGCTAGAATGTGTACCCTAACCAACAGGAACGTAGTAAAGAAACACACGTGCTTGTAAATACAATAGAATGTTTTTAATAAACGTTGCACAAATTGTAACGAACAGTGATATAACTTTCCTTTAATAAAGATATTGACAATTTATTAATTTAATTTTAACATCAGTAAAAAAAAGTTATCCAATACAAAAAATACGTTTTTATAATTTAATATAAAACTAAAAGATATATTTACATATAATTAAAATTTATAAACCTTACATAAATGTTATACAATTCTCTATATGTATATATATATATAGAATTGTATAACATTTATGTAATGTTTTTAAATTTTAATCAAATTAGAAGACTTACTCATTGTCAGTAGATTTTCTTCTACAATTAGCTGATGATAAATTAAATTGATTAGAAATATAAATTTGTTCTAACCTAATATCTATTGCTTTATTAATCTTAGAATTAGTTTCATCTTTTTGATATTGATAAAAACGAAATTATTTACAAAGTTATCTGTAACTGATGTCTAAATATAAGAAAGCTATAAATAAAAGTGTATTAATAATATTGCCGCGAACTTGAAATAGGAAACGAAATGTATCTATATGGTACTACCCAAAAGTTCGAGAAATTTGCCCATAAAAAAGAATTGCTTACTCTAACTTCTAGTTTCCATTGTCTTTCAAAATAGTCCACGGATATGAAGATTACAAGGATACAGCTATCCCAGCATTTTTTTCCATGATTCGTTCATGCGATGTAAATGCTTAAAATACTCACACTTAAAGACTTTTAGGAGTGCATGAAATTATGGAAAAAACGATGGGAACAACTGCATCCATGTTTAAGAGGGCTACTTCGAAGAAAACGATGAAAACTAGGAGATAGGGTAAGTAATTCTTTTTTTATGGGCAAATTCTCCGAACCTTTGAATGACATCATGTATATGAAAAGAGAAAAATGAATATATACTTATAAAATGGCGATTACGAGGAACTCGTGTTGCGGTTCATCGTCATTTTAAATTCTTGGTAAAGATTGATAATTGTGAGGGAAGAAATGTCTATTATCGTGATCGATTCTATTATTATGAAAAGCATATCTTTTCTCAACGCGACTTTTGCTATTTTGATATCGTTTATTCTTGTTTTAAAACTACTCTTTCAACAGATTATAAAAAAGTTGTATCCTGTTTTCTCATATATATATCTCCATTTTTCATTTGTTAAATATTATAAAGAAATATACCGCACAAAATTTTTATCTCAACTATGTATTAATTCGCTTTAACTAACGAAGAATTTCTTCCATTTCTCAAGTTTGAACTCAAACCATTAACAGTTCCCATAATGTACAACTATAATATACATTAGCAGTTCCCATAATATACAGTATTATGAGGAACAGCGAACGATAGACTTTTTCTCATTCATATTTTTCAGAAGCATTGACACACACACACACACACACTGCTTTAAGCCCGTATCAGATTACACATTTAAGATTGAGATTTAAGATTCAAAATTGAAATTTGACCAATCAGAATAAAGAAATTTTAGTCCCTTTTGTTCTGGTTAGTCAAATTCCAATCTTTAATCTTCAATCTTCAATTTTCAATGCGTAGTCTGATACGGGCTTTACGCTGCCTCGAATTTTTTTTATAGTTTCCCAGTATCGTTTACCGTATTTATTATAGGCTGATAACCCTAATGGAAATGATTCGGCATTGTCATGTGTAGCTCTTTTAATTATGTACGTCCGCGCTCATTCTTCGAGTTGCTTGATATGTAATGTCGTAATCACTTGCGTAATTTTATCTATCACGAAGAAAATTCTATTAAAGCGAATTATCAGAGATGGTGTACGAAAATATCTCGCAATTAATCTTTACATAACTCAAGTAGATTGCATTGATTCAATGGTATGAACTTTACAGCAAAAAGCTAACTTTTCTAAGTTAATCAGGTGCAAAAACTTTTTTCATACAGATCTTTGTCACTGATGCGTCTGCCATATTTACGTATTACTTCTCGGTATCGATACGGAACAACATCGCTCATGCGATAATCAATTGCGAGAATACGACTAATCGTGAGTGAGTGTGCGTGCGTGCGTGTGCGTGTGTGTGTGTGTGTGTGTGTGTGCGCGTGCGCGTGTGCGTGTGTGTGTGCGTGCGTGCGCGTGCGCGTGTGCGTGCGTGCGTGCGTGCGCGTGCGTGCGTGCGTGCGTGCGTGTGCGTGTGTGCGTGTGCGTGTGCGTGCGTGCGTGTGCGTGTGTGTGTGTGTGTGTGTGTGTGTGTGTGTACCATTCGTTATCGAGAAAGAAACGATAGGACTTTGAGATTCTCTTGTATGACGAAATAAATTATGTACTTTTTAATACCGAGTACTAAAATTCTCTCATTGTAATCTTGTGATCTTTGATCATAAATGGAAGAAAATAAAACACAACACATTGAAAACAATTCAATAAATTAAATAAACATTGTAATTACTAACATTATAATATTTATCTATATTTTGGCGCTAAATTATGTGGAAATATTTAAGATTAAAAAAAGGAGCGAAAAATTCCTGGAAAATAAACATTAACAGATCTCTTCATATGAGTTGCTTAATCGTCATACACTCGCGCGAATACACAGTTGCACACACGAAGCTATTGTATCGTCACATGATCTACATAATCTTTGATTATGACAAGAGCGCAGTATTAAGTGTTCAGAAAAGTTTGTGTAAAGAGGTATCAAAGTTAACGAGACTCATCTACTCATTCATACGTAAGCGTACGTGCATGCACAAATATGACCCTTTTATGACATATCTTTAAAGTGTGTTATGTGTTTGTGTGTGTATATATATACACGTCTTGCATAAAATAAAGCCTAAATAAACACGAAAGCTTTCATTAAGATATGCATAATCATAATAGAGATCTTTTATTACATTTTTATCTAAAAATTTAATTTACAATCGTTTTCACCGGTAGTATTGCGCGAGATATGTACACAAATGAGCAATTTAATAATATTTTGTTACTTGTGAATAGAGAAATACAAGTTATTGTTTATTAATTTATTATTTGTTTTGTTATTTCAGACTGCAACACTCCATAAATGTGTTATATCGATTGCGATAATCCAGTCGCGAGTATACCAAAATTGCCAACAACAATGATATATATATGTCCGAATTGCCACCACCGTTTCGCAGCGCCGAATTACTGCCGGGAGCGGAGCGAAGGAATTAACCGGAAAGAAACGGAGGAACAGGAGAAACAGAACGAGAAGAAGGAAGAGGAAAAAGAAGAAGAGGCCTCCGTTCATTCGACAACGGCGACCTGTTACGTCGCTGATCTTCTAGTATCGCATAATTACACCAACGGCGACAGCAGTTTCATAAACGTGCCGACAATCATCCACGAGCCTGCCATTTTCCAGTCAGCTCATCGCTGCTCCAATGTTCAATTTGCCGATTCCGAGACAATGAAACTCTCTTGCGATGCTCAAACATCGGCGGGACAGAATCCATCTTTAAGATTGTCGATCAATCAATCGAATAATCAAGACTCCCTTATTATGACGATGAAAAACATCAGCTACGGAATGGCATCTTCGATAAAACATGTCACGACCACATGCAAGCCCACTAACGACAGCATCACATTCACCACATCACCCAATATACACTCCGGTGGTTGTCTAATTCAGAGTACGGAAGCTGGAATTCTAGTACAAGCCCCACCCATCGAAATACAGCGGAAACTTACCGGTGGCGGTTGTCTCATGCAGAAGAAACATTTGCCCAATGAGGATGAGCGGTTAGCAACGTTTAAATATATAGAGAATTTTGCTCATCAAACATTTGTCACGCCGCCAAGCGGCTGTTTAGAATTGCCTGGGAGTAGAAGAATGCTACCTTCATTCAAGACGACGAGGGAAAATAGCGAAACAATGCGCACGGAATCGAGACAGCGAAAAATATCGATCAAAACAAACGGTTACTGCGACTGCAACGGTACAATTCAGCAGAATATTTGTCAGTGTCACGAGAAATTGACCGATGCGTCCGACGATCGCGGCTCGTTGCTGTTCGAGCCTGCCGGTAGTGGCATGCAGATCCGAGTGAACGCCAACATGCAACTACCCGTGAACTTAAGTGACTGCCAAATAAACATTACGGCAACAACAGCAACGCCGTGTAACCAGATCGTGGCTATGAAACCACGCTCTAGGAATAAGCAAGAGCGGAACAAAGGGATTAATTGGAAAGAAACAAAAGAGCAGGAAAAACAGAAGAAGAAAAAAGAAGAGGAAAAGGAGAAAAAAACTGCCGTCCATTCGACGACGGCGACTTGTTACGTCGCTGATCTTCTAGTATCTTCTAGCAGCTACACCAATGATAACGACAGTTTCATAAACGTACCGACAATTATCCATGAACCCGCCATCTTCCAGTCAGCCCATTGCTTCAATGCTCAATTTGCTAACTGCGAGACAGTAAAACTCTCGAATAATTTCAACGAAAGTGCTGCCGTGCAACCCGACAACTTGTACTGCGCGACAGAGGATCGGATTATCACGACTGGAAACAATAACGGTTATAACAACAACGAGCGAAAGGACGGAGCACCAACTATTTCGGTGTCCCATCCTTGGGTGATGTCAAGTCCCTGGAGCCTAGATACAAAGTTGTTGAACAAAGACATAAGATTACGCGAGATAAAAAGACTACTGCAGACGTGCGGCTGGTACCACGAAAACATTAGTTGGAAGCAAAGCGAGAATCTCTTAAAAAATACATCCGTAGGTCGATGGCTAATGAGAGACAGCTCGGACAGTAGATATATCTTTGCAATATCCGTGCAGACGGCCAGAGGACCCACTTCCGTCAGGGTGTGCTATTTTCTTAAACATTTTCAATTCGACGCTGAACCAGGACTGGCATTGGCGATTCCGACTTTCGACTGTCCTATTACAATGTTGGAGCACTACGTCGAATATTCGGAAAGGATGGATCGCAGAGAAGTGTGGGTCGATTATAGCGGGGAACTATACAGCCAGATCTATTTAACCAAGCCTCTGGTTAAAGAAGTCAAATCGTTGTCACATTTGGCCAGACTTGTCGTGAATAGAAATAAACTGCCCACTGAACATCTGCCACTCTTGATCAGGAACTACCTCGCAGAGTATCCATACACCCTTTAAATGTGTATATATCACAATTACGCAAGGCCGATGCACCTATCTTTCACTTCCGATATCTATAAATAAAAATTTATTTTTCTACATCTCTAGAACAGTTTATTTTTTGATAAACGATCTACGATGCCTTCGATTGTATCAATCACAAAGATTGCGCAATAGCGAAATGAAATTGCAGTTCGCGCGAATGTAAATGAATATTCAATTTGTTATACAATAAAATTACTCATGTTCTTATTACATAAGTAATGTTAATATCTAGTCTTTCAATTTCGTTAATGTGTTTTATTCCTTGAAAGATGAAACGTTCTCTTATGATAAATTATAAAATTACGAGTCGATTTCTTTTGTTCTATGATTATCAAGACCACGGACACTTCCTCTATTTCAAAACTTTGTTTCACATTTATTCTAATGGCATGTATACTGATAATATATACTGGGTACTTTTTTTTACTCACTTTTTCCTCGCATACCAAATGTGTGATAATAGAAGAGCATCAGCGCAAGAAGAGAGGACCTTAATCTAATGCAAAAAAAATAAAAGAAAGAGATAAATCTGAAATAAAGAAGTTTTAGAAAAAAAAGGAAATTAAATATGTGTGGACATAGATAGATTTATTCATAGATTTTTTAGTAAATCATTTTTTTCAGTTTTAATTTCTTTATTGCTTTATATGTGAGATAAATTTAGCATCAAATGTTATATTTAGCACTGAATATGTAGTGAGAATATGAGTAAAGCCTGGTATTAGACTATGCATTGAAAATCGAGATCGAAGATTGAAGATTGAAATTTTACCAATCAGGACAAAGACATTTTATTTCCTTTTGCTCTGATTAGAATTAGAAATTCCAATCTTTAATCTTCAATTTTCAATGCTTAGTCTGAAAATGTTTATATCTTCCGAATTATAAGGATATCATTTACATACCCTAATTAATATTATAATCTCGATAGAATTAAATCCACATAATACCGAGATATTACAATAATAATTTCAGCGCCAACAAAGGTCATTATTAATAAGATGCTATAAAATATTTGAGATAGGTATCATGTAGGAGGGGATCAAAGGTAAGATTGTGTATTTATCTGTACAAAAGTTGATATATATATTAAGCAGTAATTTCTATTGTATATTATCATATTTATATTTTATATATAGTACAATTATTGCAGATTATTAAAGATTATTAAATAATAAATGAGCATCGGGAAATTTATCCAAATATCATTTCGTAAATAGTATAACCAAAGAAAAAATTCAACTTTTTCCTAAATAACATGACGTCGACTAATCTTTAAGTAACAGACTCCATTCTTTTTTTTCTTTTTTTAATTTTAGTCATACATTTAAAGAAAATTGGAAATCGTGAGAACATTTTTTATGGTATTAATGATCTCATGATCAAGAATAATGCAACTTAATTGTTTTATTCAATTAATTCAGAAAAAATATAATTATACCAAATTTTTATTCGTATATATATTGAAATTACTAAACTACAGAAAAATCTAGTTTTTTACTTAAAATTTCACTGAGCTATTATTTTGCGCAAAACATTATTTAAATCGCTTCAAATTTTTTTCAATCGACGTAATAGTTTACAATAATAAATAAATACTGAGAGTTTAGAAGCCAAAGGTTTTCTTACAATAAACAATCGAACCTTGACGCGACGTAAAATTCTAGAATTCTAAAATTCATATATTAAAAACAGATGTAATAAAAGGTACAAAATTACTATAAATGCACCTCGCAAACTCGCAGACTTAGTTGATTTGCATGCGTAGGTAGATTTTACATAAGACATGTATATTTTTCTAAACATTGCATAATCTCTTAGTATAATTAGAAACTTCGTACGAGAAACATAATAGAGAACAAAATGAAAATAAACAAATGAAAAAAAAGAACATTTGAATATGCCACTTGTATATATAAATATATATATGCATATATGCAACGAGACAATATGACTGCACGCTTTTACAAATTTGTATATTATATATCTTTGAGACATAATTGTTTTGATCCAAATATATAGTGTTCCTATATTTGAAACATGCGAACAACTTTGAAAGAGCACTTTTTACTTGCTACGAGATAATATGAGCATTGCGATTTGTGTGCGCACGTGTGCACGAAACTTATAATCAAAGTCAGATTGTGAGTACGATAGACAAGCAATAAGATTACGAAATCTATATGTAGATGTTACTAACAATAAGATATTACATAGCTGAAATGCGAATAGCTGAATGTACATATTATGTGACATAGCTGATAGATTCCAAGAATTTTCGGACATCCTTCTTCTCAATTTGAAACTAAAAATTGAATGCCTAAAACTCTATCCAGCGATAAATTCATAGACACATAATAAATATAGACTGCGCGTATCCTATCTTCAGCATAAGCAGTTTGTGCATCAAAATTAGAAAGAGAATGCAATGTTTCAAGAAAGAGAGGGAGAGAGAATCTCTTCATCTCCTTTCGATTCAACTAAATAGGGATATAGCATTGATCTCTCTGTACATAGCTGGATAAACATAGCTGGACATACACTAGCATCCGTGGCTGAGAAACTGTGACCAATAGAACACTGGAAGCTATTAAAATTGTGAACTATTTTTTAGCTTCGAAGCCTTTATTGGACCAATCAGGGCCAAGAATTTTACATATCTAGTTATGGTTGTATTCAGCTATGTATAGAGATCAGCAGCCCTATTCTGTAACTTTTAATGATAAATTCGTCATCGTTACGCGTCGTTGCACAGCTATTTTCCGATACGTTTTAGCTGCGCAACGACGCATAACAATAACGACATAGTTGTTACGAAGTTAAAGAATAGGCCTATAGGAATATAGCTTCCTCCTCCCCCCCTCTCCCTCATGGATGTCTATAATCCACTCCTGCATTTGAAAGAGAAAGCTAGACTCCTCGATGCTTTCTTTCTTTTTCTAATTTTCTAAAATATATATATACTGTCTATGCTATGAATAAATCCAAAATAACACTGTTTTTCGAATCGACACATAACTACGATATATCAGATATACCGGTATGCTTGGGCCGAAAATTGCCAATAATGTAAAATTTACCTATGTATGACTTACATATTATATTATATGTTATTATATTATCCATCTTTATGAAAATAAATAATATATTAATGCTTCGAAAGAATCACAAAATTGGACTTGGGCCTATGGAAGTCAGATATTTGCTAAAAGCTGCATAAAGTTGTCCAGCTCTTTGAACTTCCTCGACGCTGAAAAAAAGATGACACAATATAATAATAAACATGTAATTGAGTTTACTTAACCATTTGCATTCGCAAATATATCATTTTTTGAGAATATCTGAACACTCAAGTATATTTTTCTCCAAAATGTGGAAATTTATTAAATTTTTTTCACATTTGTGTATTCAAAAAATTTAATGTATATTTAAAAATTTAAACTTTTATTAATTTATTTTCAAATAATGATTTACATAAGTTTTTGTCATGTAATACAATTAAAGTCTCATAATTGGTTTATCCTTGTCATTACAATTTATATAGAATCAGATGATAAAATGGAGAAGAAAAATTAAATTTTCCTTTAACTTTTCTGTATGTGAGTATGTGTAAACATCTACACACATACATACAAACACAGCACATACGCATATACGAAAGAAAGATTGGCTTTAATTGCAAGAGAGTATATTAAACAACACACAAGAGAGAATTCTCTCTAAACTGTTATATGAAAACAAATTTCCTGTCAAACAAACTGCAACGTGGATATTTATTAAAAGTCAGACAAAAAATTAATTTTATATATATA